GGATCAAACACTTACAACATGTGTATCAAGTCTAGCAAAAGAGGCCTAGGACAGACGAGTACCAGGGACCAATGGTGTCCTTTACTGAAGCCGACCTAGCCACGGTGCAACATCCCTACAACGATGCTATGGTGATATCCCTCAAAATTAGAGAATGCCAGGTAAGGCGCATTCTAATGGACCAAGGCAGCTCTTGTGACATTATGTATGCCAGATGTTACAAGGAGCTCAACCTTCCCTGAGATGATCTAGAGTAGTCCAATAGTCCAATGGTCGGGTTCAATGGAACTCCGACATGGCCCCCGGGAGCAATAAGTTTGGAGGTGCAAGTAGGCACCAAGAAGGTAAGTATAGAGTTCACAGTTATTGACACTCCTTCTCCTTACAATATTATCCTGGAGAGGCCATGGTTGCACATAATGAGGGTTGTTCCCTCAATGTTTCACCAGTTGTTACGATTCACAACAGAGCATGGAATCAAGGAGGTCAGAAGGGATCAAGTGCAAGCAAAGAATTGCTCTATGGCAGTAATGAAATCCACTTACAACGTGCGAGACGCAGAAACAATAAAGATTGAGGGTGAACAGACAGAGGTCTTGGATGACCTCGGCAAAGAGCCAACCGACAAAAGCGAGAAAGCCTTGAAGAAAGTTCTGATCCAACAAGATGATAAAGAACGCTTCTTCCTTCTCGGCTCAAGATTGGTCGAGGAGGAAGAAAGAGAGTTGGAAACATTCTTGCGAGCGAACATAGAGGTGTTTGCATGGACGCTTTATGAGATGCTTGGCACTGATCCCGTGGTCACATGCCATATGCTCGACGTAGATAGGTCGGCTAAACCAGTCATCCAACGAGCAAGGAGGCCGACGTTGATGCATGTTGAGGTAGTTGAAGAGGAAGTGGGTAGATTGTTGGAGGCCAGAGCCATTTGGGAGGTAAACTACCCAACTTGGTTGTCAAACACAGTTGTTGTGAAAAAGAAGAACGAGAAGTGAAGGGTCTGCGTGGACTTTACTAACCTGAATAATGCTTGTCCCAAAGATAGCTTCCCACTCACCAAGATCGATCAATTAGTGGATGTCACTTCAGGGCACGAAAGGGTGAGCTTCCTGGACACTTATAGGGGGTACCATCAAATAGCCATGTACTCCTTGATGAGAATAAAACTGCATTTATCACCCCAAAAGGGCTGTATTATTACAGAGTGATGCCTTTTGGGTTGAAAAATGCAGGAGCAACTTACCAGAGATTGGTGACCAAGATATTCAGACATCTAATTGGCAAAATAGTAGAAGTATACATCGATGACATGGTCGTGAAGACCAAAGAATCTAAGGATCATCTGGCTGACTTGAAAGCAGTTTTCAACATCCTTAGAATATATCGGCTCTAACTCAATACTTTGAAATGTGCATTTGGAGTTGGGTTTGGTAAGTTCTTGAGATACTTGGTTACCCAAAGGGGTATTGAGGCAAGCCCAGATCAAATCAAGGTCATTCTGGATTTGAAAAGCCCAACGTCGGCAAAACAAGTGCAGATGTTGACTGGAAGGGCCACAGCCCTGAACAGATTTATAAGCAGAAATTCAGACAAGCGTAAACCATTTTTTAATCTGCAGGAAAAGGCCATAGACTTCTTTTGGACAAAGGAATGTGAAGTCGCCTTGGTCGACTTGAAAAGATGCCTGACCACAACTCCAGTTGTCTCAAATTCGATACCTGGAGAGGAACTCTTCTTATACCTGGCAATTTCAGAGCATACAATAAGTGCAGTGGTGATCAGAGAAGAGAAGGGAGAACAAAGAGCAGGGTACTATGTAAGTAAAACCTTAGCAAGCACAGAGACTTGGTATTTACCCCTAGAGAAATTGACATTGGCGTTAATCACAGCTTCCAAGAAGTTGAACCATTATTTTCAAGCCTACAAGATTGTGGTATTGACTGAGCACCCCTTGAAGTCCCTGCTACAGTAAGGAGATCTAACAGGTAGGGTGGCCAAATGGGCAGTGGTACTAGGCCAATATGATTTAGAGTTCAGACCCAGAACATCAATTAAAGGCCAGGTTCTGGTTGACTTCATGGCCGAGTTCACACCAGGTGCCATCCCGCGTCAGGCTCCGATGAGCCACAGCTTAGGATGTCTAAAGGAACAAGAAGAGACCCAACTGGGAATAAAAAACCCCACAACAGAGCAGAAGAAAGAGGAGAAACTCAAGCCCTGCGATATTTACATTGGCGACTCCTTCTGCCTTTTTGTTGATAGAAGTTCAAACCGTCAAGGAGCGGGGGCAAGATAAGTGCTAGTATCGCTAGATGGGCAGATGTTAGAACAGTTTATTCGTTTGGGGTTTAAGGCCTCAAACAATGAAGCAGAATATGAAGCATTGATCACAGGACTGAAGCTGGCAGTAGTAATGGAAGCCGACGAGGTGGTGGTCTTCTATGACTCCCAGCTTATTGTGAACCAGGCAACAGGCGAGTATGCAGCCCGAGATGAAAGAATGATAGCTTATGTCAAAGATGTTGTTAGACTGCTAGCCTTGTTTCAAGACTGCCGACTACAGCAGGTTAGCCGAGATGACAACAGACATGCCGATGCCTTGGCTAACCTGGCTAGTACAATGAAATCAGGAGAGGCAAGGACAATAATGGTTGATTATTTGCAAGTCCAAGTGTGGAACTACTAATCACTGAATATGAAGCAATGTGTGTGGAGATGGGCCCAAGTTGGATGGATGCAATACTAATGTCCCTTAGAGATAGAAAGCTGCCAGATGATCGCAAAGAAACACATAAAACCAGATTAAAGTCGGTTAGGTTTAGCTTGACATCAGAAGGACATCTCTACAGAAGGTCTTTTACTGGTCCACTTTTGAGATGTGTGCATTTTGTATGAAATACATGAAGGGATGTGTGTAAGCCATGCTGGGGGGAGGTCACTTGCTCATAGGGCCATTACTTAAGGGTACTGGTGGCCCTATATGCAGAAAGATGCTGAAGCCTATGTCAGAAAGTGTAAGCAGTGTCAAAGGTTCGCGCCTTTAATACATCAATCAGCAGCAGATTTGAACCCAGTGTTCAGCCCTTGGCCATTTGCCCAGTGGGGTATAGATCTTGTTGGACAACTACTCCAAGTAACTTGACAAAGGAAGTTTCCGCTGGTAGCAACTGACTATTTCACAAAGTGGGTAGAAGCTGAACCCCTTGCGAAGATTCGAGACACTAATGTGAAGAACTTATATGGAATAACATCATCACCAGATTTTGGATCCCAAGGGCAATAATAGCACACAATGGTACACAATTTGATAGTAAGCTAATCAAAAACTTCTGTGCAAAGTACAAAATCAAGAACTATTACTCCACTCCAAGTTTCCCTTAGAGTAATGGTTAGGCAGAAGCATCTAACAAGATTATCTTGGATGGGATCAAGAAGAGGCTGGAAGCAGCAAAGGGAAAATGGGTGGAAGAGTTGCCCAATGTACTTTGGACATATCGGACTACGCCGAGAAGATCAATTGGGAAATCCTCATTTGCCATGGCTTATGACATAGAAGCAGTTATCCCACTGGAAGTTGGCATCCCAGAGATCAGAACCCAAAGAGTAGAGAATGGAACTAACGAGGCATTCCTTGCCCGAGATCTAGACTTACTTGAGGAGAAAAGGAAGAGAGCATCAATTCAACTGGGAGCGTACTAGCAACAACTTGCTAGGGCTTATAATAAAAAGGTCAACCTAAAAGAGTTCAAAGTTGGGGACCTGGTGCTAAGGAAAATGGTCGGCAACAAAAAAGATCCTAGGAAGGGAAAGCTGGGCCCAAATTGGGAGGGGCCTTATAGATTTATCTCGGTCGCCAGCAATGGTGCATATCAGCTTGAAGATTGTAAGGACAAAGAGTTTCCAAGACCCTGGAACACTTACAACTTGAAGTTTTTCTATCATTAGATTTTTGTTTTTTTTTTTATGTCATTAGCCGAAGTAATAATAAAAATTTTAGCTTGATTTTTGAAATTTGTGTAATAGGACTAACTAGTCCTTTGGCGATGTTTCTGATTGAAACATGACAAATAATTTAGACTTATTATATGGCAGAGTTGAATTATACTTGCATATAATATAATTGAACTAAGTTGAGCGATGTTTCTGATTGAAACATGACGAATAACTTAAACTTATTATATGGCAGAGTTGAATTATACTTGCATATAATAGACTTGAACTAAGTTGAGCGATGTTTCTGATTAAAACATGACGAATAACTTAGACTTATTATATGGCAAAGTTGAATTATACTTACATATAATAGAGTTAAACTAAGTTGAGCGATGTTTCTGATTGAAGCATGACTTAGACTCATTATATGGCAGAGTTGAACTAAGTTGAATTGAAATTAGGCTTGCTATGTTGGCAAAATTAATTAACAGAGAAACCAAGGTTGAGAACGTCGGCTAATCTTTGTTTGAATCTGACTTCGGCGAAAGATTATACGTGTTTAATGTGAACATAAGTAAAATTTAGGTTCACATTAGGGGGCAGAGAGATAGAGAATGATAGATGAGCTTAAAAATTTGAAGTGCTTTAGGCTAGTTGAAATTTTTTGGAAACATTTACAGGTTAAGAATTGGCTTAATACTTATTGAAATTTTTGAAAAATTTACAAGTTACAATTAAGCCGAGGTAATATTGAAAGAAGTACCTGACGTACGTACTTGCCGAGATGACCAAGTTGCCAAACTTAGGAAGGATAGAAGACAGAAGTCATGATAGAAAATAGTAAGTGAGAATGAAGTAGCAAGTTTAAAGAAACAAACACTTGTAAAAATATTTCACAATATTTTTAAGTGTCAAACCAAGGCCAAGATAGGCAATTAGAAGATATATCCAAGGTGCTTTACCCCGAGGAGATTGCACAGTTAAGGTGTAACTTGAAGGCATGCAAAAAATATTCTAAGTATGAAAGAAAGCAGTAAAGCCTACAAACATTCAAACACTTAGAAGAGAGGAGGAGGCTGGTATTCAAAAGACAACTTGTTCAAAGTACAAAAGGCACATCGCTAGACTGGAATTAAAACATTGTCTAACAAAGTTGCAGAGACTACAAAGGAAAAAGTACAAGATATCAAAACAAAGAAAAGGTTCTAGACAGGCTATTCTGCGTTGACGGGTCGTTGAGTATCGACCTCGGCACATAGCTGGGAAAGTTTCTCGCAGTCCTCTCAGCTTCAATCTCGACATTAATCTTCTGAAGAGTTTTGTCGAGGCTCTTCTCGACTGTCTATACCTCGGCCTCTGACACGACTCTTTTGGGAGAGGTACTCTTGGAGACCTCGTCCTCATCATCCCGAGTCAAGTCCAGGATTTGCTCATTGAGAGTTGGGAACTTGGCCCCAGTAGAACCCTCTCCGCCAGCTCCAACCTCGACTTCTTCTCCTTCTCCTTCTCTTTCTTCTCCCCTAGCCTCACCCTCAGATTGGCTTGGAGCAGGGCGGAATGGTACTACAAGTCGGCTCTCATCTCGGAGGAGTGAGTCCTCGGGGACAACCAACTCTTTCAGAGCAGCCATCCAATTAAGGGTGTAACCCATGTTGCATGCTTGTCTGACTTGCTTTTTGTACTCCTCGCGGATGTCGGCTGCCCTCTCGGCGTAGGCCTTCGCGTCCGCCTCCCTGATTTCAGCTGCCTTTGTAGATAGTGTCGTTTGGAGCTCAGTTTGGGCCTGGGCCTCTTTCTCTTTGGCCTCTTTTACCTCGGCCTGAGCGACCTCGGCGACATTTTTCGCAGCTTCGGCACGGTCCTCGGCTGCCTTCAAGGATAACTCAGTAGCCTTGGCCTGATCAAGCAGACCTCGGATGCGAGCCTCGGCTTTGTTGAGCGCAGAGAGAAGTTTGGTTGCCTCCTTGGTCTTTTGGGTTAGTTCTTTCTTACAGTCCTCGGCCTTGACTGCGAATGAATGACCTTGCTGAATGGCCTGCAAGAAAAGGAAATAGATTAGTAAAAGTTTGGCTAAGTGTTAGAAGACTTCAGAACGATAAGGTAAAAGACTTACCAAGACGCAGTGTTGTATCATCAGCGCATAGTTTTCATACTCAGTTAGCTCAGCCATTCGGTTGATGTTGGCTGGCAATAGAATGGCAGTAGAGATGGCGGTACTGACTTCAACACTATCTAGCACGTTATCGCCAGCTAACAGATGTAACGCCTCAAATTTCTAGCCCAAATGATAATACAACAATTATGAATCTTTCAAGGAAAACCGAATTTAAATCTCCAAACTTACATTACATGATACAATAGTTCTTCATGTAACAATACATTAATCCAACAACAAGTAAATAAACAAATAAATACCTCTAAGGGTTTACAAGTTTCCAAGGCTTGAGCCTGATTACACAAAACGGTTATTCAAACCCACACACATATAGCCTTTGGCTTACATATAGAATCCTAGCAAAATGAGAGTCTCATACTCTCAACACATATTTCTACGCCTTTAGTTAGGCTGCATCACCATATCTTTTCCTGCATAAAAATCCCGTAGGGTGAGCATAAAGCCCAATAGGAAATCCTTAACAAAGTATATACATTTTATACAAGTCTCAAGAGATGAATGCACATGCCATGTTATGCTCTTTTGAAATAAAATCACATCTTCATCTTTGAAAACCCTCATGCTCAATAATGTCATGCAATTTCAATTCTTCAAAACTTAACAATTCATTTCAAGAGCCGTAAATACGACTCTGGTAATCCCTAGGTCGATGTCTGCAAGTAGACTATATAAGTACTACTAATTTGTCATTTTTACTGGTATTAACCGGAAGGCTCAACACCTATCCGCGCGGATTTTCAATCTTTCACCCCGGACTCTCAGGCCAACTTATTCAATATCATTTATACCACCTATCAAGACTTATCAACATATTTATCCCAAAACCATTCCATGAAAACTTGTTTCTCAACATTCTTTTCTCAATGCAAGTTTTCAAATCAACTTTCAAAGTTTAATGTAGTCAAATGAATTGATATGCCAATAACACAAGATGAATATAAATACTTTTATTCCAATTCCTCATCCAAGGAATAACACAATTCTCTCTTCTCAAGTATCCTCAACAAATAGTCATTTCAAGACTATTTCAATGTTTTGAACAATAATTTTCAAAATGAACAATAATTTTCATATTTCTTGAAATTCATCATTTATATAAATATAAATAAGAAATTTTCCAAACATCTATTTATTTTGACACACAAAATAAATATAATAATATCATTCATAGATTTTCAGTCTCTCAAAAAAAAATCCCAAATTCTAGGTTTTTTATCTAAAACTATACAACTCAAATCTTTTGAAAGAAAACTTTTTAAAATCATCTTCTTCTTTCTTTCTTTTTCAATCAACGAAGATCAAAACCCATAAGATTATTTTAAAAGAACAAGAGACAAACACACTTTCAAAATCGCTCAACTTCTTGAATCAACAATCAATTTTCAAAGCTATCGAAAGATGATTTCGAAAATCATATAGATCTTGCAAAAACATATATATAACTCTAAGAAAATCCCTACCTCAAGTTTTGAAGAAGAAATGAGATGAAACCCCCAAAATTAATGGTGTCAAAACTCGATCTTCACCGTACACAACGAAGCCCTCGAGAAATTAACCAACTTTGATGAAGAACCTATGGCACAACTCTAATGGATCTTGAGAAATCAAGGTTTTGATCTAATTTGGCGTAGGAAAAAGTAGAGAGAATGGAGAGGAAATGTTTTTAGACAGAGAGAGATATACAAAAGTGATTTGAAATATCAGATTCACGAACTGATATAACATGGTCTGCTCGAGCGTGGAAAGCCCCACTCGAGCATCGAATACACCTTCACTGTACTTTTGCAGACAGGTCAAACTTCTGAAACCAAACATTCTCCACTCGAGCGCATAAACGGCCGCTCGAGCGGACAAGCAACTTCGAATGCATTTTGTATTTTTGCTTCGAGGGTGCTGCCCCTCGACCCCGCCAGGGCACTGCCCTCGAACCCGCCAAGGGGCGTTGCACCCTGGACCCCCGCGAGCTGACCAAGCAGCTTGATCGCCGACCTGCCCAGTCGAAGTGGCAAAACATGAAAGAATGATCGAAATCGGGATCGCTATAACCTTTCCCCCTTAAAGAATTTCGTCTCCGAAATTTCAAATCAAACTACCCAAACAAAGGGGTTTCTAGCGATCAAAGCCATGTTATTTCATTTTCAAATCACAATATTAACTCTCAACCAAATTCCACCATTTCCACCATGGTTATCTCATTAACAACAACCTCTCAAATACGCATAAACATGAAATTTCCTAAAAAGTAATGGCAACTCTCAACAACCTTATGCTTAAAACAACAATGTACATATCAACATGTGGTTAACAACTTTAAATACGTTTCCCTCAACACTAGGGAATATTACAAAGATAAACAACTTAAGCATTTTCAAACAAATCCGGATATTTGGAGCGGACTTCCGTCTCCCGTTCCCGCGTCGCTTCTTCAATCCCATGGTGTCTCCACAACACCTTTACTAATGGTATAGTTTTGCCCCGTAGCACTTGCTCTAGGTATCTAATATTTGAACCGGTCGTTCTTCGTAAAAGGCATCTTCATCTACCTCCAAGTCAACCCAATCAAGAACATGAGAAGAGTCGGGTTCATACTTCCTAAGCATAGATATATGAAATATGTTGTGAACTCCCGAAAGTTGTGGCGGTAAAGCTAACCGGTATGCCATTTTCCCAATTCGCTCTAAGATCTCAAAAGGCCCAATAAAGCTTGGAGATAATTTACCACTCTTACTAAATCTCACCAAACCCCGCCTTGGTGAGATTTTTAGAAACATGATCACCAACTTCAAAAGATAAAGGTCGTCTCTTCTTATCGGCATAACTCTTTTGTCGGCTTTGGGCCGTAGCTAACCTCTTTCGAATGAGAACAACTTTCTCGGTTGTCTCTCTAACAATTTCCGAACCCAGTAACGGTGCATCACCCACTTCGGCCCAACAAACCGGTGATCTACAAGGTCGCCATACAAGGCCTCAAACGGTGCCATCCCAATACTAGCTTGGTAACTATTGTTGTAAGCAAACTCAATCAATAGTAAGTGTCTTTCCTAAGGCCCTTTAAAATCAAGGATACAAGCTCTAAGCATGTCCTTCAAAATCTGAATGGTACATTCCGATTGTCCATCGGTTTGAGCATGATAAACGGTGCTAAGAGTCAACTTAGTTCCCAACGCCTCTTGAAGGCTTTGTCATAACCAGGCAGTAAAACAAGGATCCCTATCCGATACAATAGTCACAGGGACTCCATGAAATCGAACTATCTCTCTAATGTACAATTCTACCAAGCGTTCAACTGAGTCGCTGGTGCGCATCGGAATGAAATGTGTAGACTTAGTCAACCTATCAGCAATCACCCAAACGGCATCATTGCTTCGTTGTGTTCTAGGAAGCCTAACTACAAAATCCATGGTAACACGCTTCCATTTCCACTCGGCTATCAGTAAGGGTTGTAACAAACTCGCTGGTCTTTGGTGTTCGGCCTTCACTTGTTGACAAGCAAGGCACTTCGATACAAATAAAGCGACATCCCGTTTCCTACCCCTCTACCAAAACTGACGACTAAGATCATGATACATTTTAGTGCCTCCCGGGTGTATCGCAAAAGCGTAAGTGATGGAACACCCGAAGTACTTCCTCCCTACAAAATTTTGGTACAAACAAACGGTCTAGGTAACGTACACTCAGATCCGAGTGAACGTTCAAACCTTTCTCTTCCTTCCCATTGGAAATCTTAACACGGATAGATTCCACATCACGGTCTCCTCGTTGTGCCTCTATGACCTTACTAACCAAGGTAGGTTGGGCATTCAAAGTAAACAAGGTAGCACTCTCTCCGGACTTATCTAAGTGCAAATCAAACTTGCCAATAACATCTAGCATATCGCATTCCTAAATGGCCACACTTACCAAACTACTCACAGATTTCGACTCAAAGCATCGGCCACCACATTGGCTTTTCCCGGATGATAGTGTAACTCAAAGTCATTATCCTTCAAAAATTTCATCCATCTTCGTTATCATAAATTCAAGTCTTTTTGAGAAAACAAATACTTTAGACTCTTATGATCTGAGAAAACCTCAAACTTTTCATACAAGAAATACCTTCAAATTTTCAAGGCAAAAATCACCGCTGCTAATTCTAAATCATGGGTGGGGTAATTCTTCTCGTGAGTTTTCAAATGTCGTGATCCGTAGGCCACAACTTTTCCCTCTTGCATCAAGACACAACCAAGTCCATCCCCGGACGCATCACAATAGACAGTGTAATTCAAACCCCTTTTCGGAATTATCAAAACCGCTGCGGTAGTCAATCTAGTCTTAAGCTCTTGGAATGACTTTTCACAAGTCTCACTCCACACAAATTTGATATCCTTTCTAGTCAACCTAGTTAAAGGTGCAACTAGTCTAGAGAAGTCCCTTACAAAACGTCGCCAATACCCCACTAATCCGAAGAAACTCCGGATTTCAAAAACATTCTTGGGTTATTCCCAATCCTTTACGGCATCTATCTTTGAGGAATTCACAGTCACTCCCTCTTTAGAAACTACATGCCCCAAAAACTTCACCTCCATTAACCAAAACTCGCATTTTCAAATTTAGCATACAATTGGTGCTCACTAAGTAAACCCAGCACTACCCGCAAGTGAGTCTCGTGTTCCTCTTCAGAGGTTGAATAAATCAAGATGTCGTTCACAAATACAACCATAAAACGGTCCACGTATTCTCAAAAAATTATGTTCATCAAATCCATAAAGGAAGCCAGTGCATTGGTCAACCCAAAAAGCATTACAAAGAATTCATAGTGGCCATAACGAGTACGAAAGGCCGTCTTCTGAATGTCCTCCTCCCGGGCTCTCAACTGATGGTACCTCGACCTCAAATCTATTTTTGAGAAGTAACGAGACCGTCTAAGTTGGTCAAACAAATCATTTATTCTGGGTAGGGAATACTTGTTCTTAACTGTAACTCTATTCAACTTGCGGTAATCAACACACAATCGCAATGACCCATCCTTCTTTTTCGCAAAGAGAGCCAGCGCTCCCCAAGGCAATATACTAGGGAGAATAAAGCCCTTATCTAAAAGTTCTTGGAGTTGAATCT